TTTCAGCAAGCGGACCTGACCTAGGGTGGATTTTATATTGGGTTTTAAATATTCGGAAGACGCAACATTAAAATTCGGTTTAATTCGGTTTTAAGGGGGGGATTGCATATATGTTAATGGTTTTAAATATGTTGTGCGCCGCCCTGAGTCCCTGTCGGGAGAAGGGCGGCATATAAATTAAATTAAATAAATAAATAAAATAAATAAATAAACAAGCATGTCAAACTCGCGATGTCACATGACATTGCGTGACGTATCGCGGGTTTTTCCCCATTGCCGGCAATGGGGTGGGCGTGGTTTCAGCATGACGCATCCGACCCATGGGCCAGCAGTTTGACATGCCTGCTATAAAAGGAGAAGGTTTTGGCGGAAGAGGGAAAGGAAAAAAAAAGACAATGGGGGAAAGAGAAGGGGACTGCAAAAGAGAGACGGAGAAGCGCAGCCTTGAGAGGAATCAGCTGGAGGTGCACGGAAGAGAAAAGGGGGGAGAGAAGAGAGGATATAAAAGGGAAGAGAGGAGAGAAAGGATATAAAAGAAGGGAGAGAAGAGAGGCTATAAAAGGGGGGAGAGAAGAGGATATAAAGGGGGAAAGGAGAGGATATAAAAGAAGGGAAGAGGATATAAAAAGGTGACAGAAGAGGATATAAAAGAAGGAGGGGGAGAGAAGATATAAAAGAGGGAGGAGAGAAGAGGGGATATAAAAGGAGGAGTGAATCTGGCTTCTCCATTGACTTTGTCAGAAGGTTGCAAAAGGGGATCGATGACCATCATAAATATGAATCAGTTGCCAAGCATCCAAACGTGATTGACCCTGGGGATGCTGCAACGGTCACAAGTGTGAAAAATGGTCATAAGTCACTTTTTTCAGTGCTGTGGTAACTTTGAACAGTCACTAAGTGAACTGTTGTAAGTTGAGGACTACCTGTATCACTTTTTCCCCCCCCTTTTTTTGGTCATCAAGTTTTTGACTCCTTGCTAGGCGAATACTCTAATATTGCCATATCCTAAAAGGGGTACAATCTGTGAAAGGGTTGAAAAGGCCTGTTCTAGACAGCAGCAGCACCACCACCACCACAGACGCCCCTCCTGCACGTGTGGAGCGGGGCAGGCTGCCCAGGGCGGCAGACTCGCCTCCCAGCAGGAAAGCAAGGCAGGGGCCAGAGCAGGGGTAGTCAACCTTGGCTCTTTTATGACTCGTGGACTTCAACTCCCAGAATTCCTGAGCCAGCTAAGCTGGCTCAGGAATTCTGGGAGTTGAAGTCCACGAGTCATAAAAGAGCCAAGGTTGACTACCCCCTGGGCCAGAGCATCCTCCGCGGACCTTCCGAGGCGACGCTGCGCGGGGATTCTTTCAGCGCTTCCTCGGCTGGCCGCCTGGCGGCGCCGTCCCTGCGTTCGCTGTTGCTGTACTCCTCGTGGCCACGCCCCGTCCGTCTCTGGCCGCTCCCCTCCCAGGAGGAGGAGGAGGAGGAGGAAGATGGCGGCGCTCGGCCCCCTCGGCGGCGGCGCGCAGGTAGGCAACCAAGAGGAAGGGCGGCGGAGGGATGAGAAGGGAGAATGGCGGCGGGAAGAAGGGGAGGAAGAGCAGTCGCAATTCAAGAAAGCCGAGATACTCCCGCCGTGAGTCAGGAAGCAGAGTCGGGGAAGGGAAGGCAGCCACCACCTCCCCGCAAAACACGCGACCTTGATGGGAGGTGGTCTCTCGGGCGGGAGGGGCGTCCGTTCTTTCCCTTCCCAGGGAAGGACGGAGCGTCGGGCGCCGACGGGGAGGGACCGGCAAGGCCAGCAGTCCTCGCCGTCGGAAAGGGATCAGGCAACTCAGCCCTGATAGGGGACAGACAGCTGTGCTGCCTCCAGGACTGGGAGGCGGAGGGTCCCGTCGCCACCCATCAGGACCACGGCCCAGAAGCCCCTTCTTAATACACAAGTGACCCAGCCCAGCCTACCTCACAGGGCTGTTGGAAAGAAATCTTGTCCGCGGGTATAGCGGGCTGGGATGCTACAGTGGAGAAGAGAAGGGGCTGGAAGTCCTCTAGGCCGGGATTTGATTGAAGGACCGCTGTTGCACAGCTTTTGCCTGTGTATAGAGTGGGTGTGCGTGTTTGGAGAGACGCTTAATAGGTGCTGAAGAGTTTAAACGCTGCCAATTCAAGCCATAAAAATATATATTTCCTAGAAAAGCAGGACTCGGATGATGCAGTTTGTACCCTTGGATGTTTCCAGAGGTAGAACCCAGCTAGAACTGAACATTGAGAATTTACTCAGTTTAAACACTGGGAAATTTGGGAAGCCCAGTACAGAACCAAAAGACTGAAGTGGGACCAATTCGAGCAGATGGTGTCTTTCCTTCGGGGAAAACATTACAAAGCTTGGTGAGAGAAGCCTAGAAATTAAGCCAAATAAAAATCATTTCCAGATAAACATGGGTGTAGTCAGGCTGTAGACCTCACAGCTTATGCTCTGCTTTGTCCAGCATTTTAGTGGCCATCTCGGGAAGTATGAGGATTTTTTTAGGGCTTGTATTTCTCACTGAATAACAAACAATTTAACAATGACATATAAGCAATTAAAATATATCTGAGGATCACATTGTCAAATAATAGCATATGGAATACTGTACATTTTGTAAGAGAAGGCCAACACATCATAAAGTTATTTGGCAAAAAGCTACACACTGCCACCAAATTTAAGAGCCAGGTTAGCCGTAACGTAAGAACTTACTAGGGATTAAAATATAATAATTACAAAGTCCTTGGAGAATACTGTCTTGAGGACCTGACTGTATTTGTAGACGTGGTGCCAAGAGATCTTCTTTGGAGAAAATAGTCTGTAACCTGCAATAGTTGAAGATACTTTTTTGATGGCCTCATAACCTGCAGCCTAATTCAGGTGCCATTAAAAAGTGGCTCAATGGCCTACAGAAGCTGCCTGGATTCTGCACTGAAGTTCAAGGGAAGTTTCAGTTCCCTAGGCAGCTTCAGCCACAGAAGAATTTCCTTACTAGATTGGAGGAATGTTGCAAGGGATGGAATTTAGTGCAAGGCTGGGGAGAATATACAATGGCCTCTGACACTGAGCTGGCTGTTCTGCCGGATATGGTCTGTCACAATAAGGGAGGGGTTTTGTGCAACCCTGGATGATGAACTCCGACTGGTAGGGTTACATGGGGAAACATAATCCAGGATTGGTGTGTTCCCTTCTGTCTTGGTTAAATCCAGAAGTTTGTGTACAGCAATTCTTAGTAAAAAAAAAAATAGGAACAGGTTCCTAGGGATAATTGTTAACTAAGGACCTCTTGAGCAAAAATTCAGTCATGCCAGGAGACAGATGTTTTAATTATTCTAAGAATGTAACTGGGCTTTAATGAGGCTTCCCCCCCCCCCCAAATGAAATAGTACACAGTAAACCTTCAGCCATAAAAGAAGATGGCAGAGGGATCTCTGGTGTATGGAATGTGTCATGAGTACTCGGAAAAAGAAACATTTATATCTTTCTCTTGGAGGGAAGCTGATCCGGGGATCTATGTATATGAAAGAAAATCCAGCAATCTCTGTATAGATAACGCGTAGATTTGTTGCATGCATGTTAATAGATAATGTTGCTAAGAGCATTCCTTCTGAGC